ACCCCCTGTATCTTTCCACCCCATCGACCTTTAACCATTAAAACCATTAAAGCATGAATCTCCATGATGCACAAACCTCCCTGTAAAATTTCAGAAATTTTCGACAAAAGGCACGGGAGTTATAAAGCTTCAAAATGGATGAACGAAATCGTGTTCCCCCCGACACATACACACTAATATCCATACATAGGAAATAACCCCCCCCTCTTTTTATGTATTTCTCGAAGTTTCAAACAAAAAAAAAGTAATTCTTTTTATAAATTTCTTCTAACATTATTGATTAGTTTCAAGGAGTAGAAAGATGCACAATAGGATTAATCTATCTTTGGTTTGGTTTCTCAGATTTTAAAAGAAACAGATTTACATTTTTAGCTTTTTATGTACGTTTCTACACCAATAAGTTACTGAAAGCACATCTATTAGTATTATTCTGTGTCTGTCCTCACAAAAAACGTTTAACTGATGGATAGATTTCGATCAAATTTGATTAAAGTGGAACTGAAAAAAAGAAAAAGAAATTTGTTTAAATTGTTTCGTTAAAAAACATTAGAATCAATAAAAATTAAATTTTATTTTTGTTTTATTGATTTTAATGTCTTACTTAATAATTTGGTCGATATATATTAAATATATAACATATTACTTAATTTGGAATTAGTCTTACAGTCATTAAAAGTATATGAAACTATTATAAACATTAACGTAATTTTTAATTAATTTTTTAAGTTAAATGTCTTCATATATTAAAATAAAAAAAAAGATAAATTTATAAAGTTGACTTTTGTTTTTTTAGAGAGTTTACTTTTAAAATTGTAAAGTTTAAAAGTTTTTTAATAGAAATTTTTTGTTATAATTCTAAAATTTCTTTAAAATTTTGTTGAACTAGACATAATAGAGTAACATAATATATAAATATTTTTATAATAAAATCTAGTTTTTCGGAATTTTTCTTGGATAAAATCTGAATATAAATTAATAATTGAGAATATATAACTGTTTACTATATAATCAATACTTTACTTCTTGGAATGTTGTTGGGGACTGTTTATTAATTTTTGAATGGATAAAAAAAAAGCTCCGAGCCGAGATTAAAGTATATATAATTTAATAAGAAAACATTTTTATTTTTTAATTTCTGGATACAATTTTATATTTTTCTTTATATTTTTATTTATTCTTAATTCTAAAAGACTAAGAAAGATGAGCAAGGAGATGAATTTTAGATGATATCTTTAGATTAATACCCGTTCTATTCTCTTCCCCAGACGTGAGTTCGATTTTTTTATCTTATCTCTTCAAATTTATCAAATTATTTTTCAGATAATTCATTTTTTAAAATTTGTTTAAAATTAATTATTACATAATTAATAAATAGAAAAAAAGGGATGTAAATTTGAGTTTAGTTTGAAATTTTTTAAATAACTTATTTAAGAAATGAAATTACTGTTTATAGTTTTAATTTTACTTGATAAATAATTGTTGTATAAAAATACAAGAAAATAAATAAGTTAATTTAAAATAAATGTATTTTTATTTTTAGTTTTCGTGACTTTATCATCTTGTTTAATCCAAGTAGTAACCTCAAGTAGCACGTAAAAGAATTACTTTTATTTATCAAAACTATAATTGTAAATCCACAACATATTCTAACTTTATGATTAAATTTCACGATTTTGCATTCTACTTTTAAAGTGACAATAATTGAAATTTATTTTCGACCCGATTAAGTTGATTCTCTTGTTTCGCTTCTTCTAGGGACTGGCTTACTTCCCGATTGCATACGTTTGCCGCTGAATGCATTTTGATGCAAAAATTAGACAGAAATTACTCTCTTCTGGCATAGGAGATATTTAAGAATATAATTATGTGTGATCACTTCTAATTAAATCTTTCCTAAGAATAAATTAAAAGAAACTTTTTACAATTATTCTTACGAAAGATATTGCTATAGAGCGTAAGGGCCTAACTAAGCGTAGACTTGAGAGCATAGACATATGCTGAATAGGTTAGAAGAGGAATATCTCCTCTTTAACCAAAATTAAAAATAAATAAATGAATAAAATATAATAAAAAACGAAATGGTCTTTGCTTATTACATATTACTTATACATATTAATATTGACTATACACAGATTATAAGTTCAACTTGTAACTTAACCTTGAACAGGTAACTGAAAGATAAGGGTAGGTTCGTAAAGTCGAAGAAGTTAAACGAATGTTTACCTAGCCGGTCATAAAATACCACGTACCATTAAAGTAACAGTGATATTTACTATAGAACAGTACAGTGATAACTATAGTATTCTAACTATATATAATATAAAATACCGTTCCTATAAAGAATGCGGCTCTTGCGTATTTCCGATAGACGATATATGGCTCCCATATTGACAATGTTTGTCCATCCCTGTTATATAATTTAAAATCCGTATCGTATGATATTCCATAGTGTAGAAGATCTAAAATCCTAATTATTACTAGATTCCGATCAAGATCGACTATCAAATTATGCGTATGTGAGGCTCCTAAACATACGAGACGTTAGGTAAAACCTTAGAATATCTATACTTAAATCATCTCAGGCTGGAAAAGATTATTGAAACACAACATTTTGGCATGAAAATACATTTAAAAACCCTTAAAAACAACTAGTTTTAATATATGCACAGAATAATAGATCGTAACTTTCGATCTTTATACTGTTTTATGTTTTATAACAATAGAGAAATAAAAAAAAAATAAAAGAGAAATAGAGAAACAAAAGAAATAATTCCAATTTAAACATTATGGTTTTATAAAACAAATTATTGAGGTCAACATAACAAAAACTCAGTCAACATTTCAGAACAACAAACCTACTTCTTGAATTCTGAAATTAAATATGAGCTTATATTTTTTATTGTTTAAGTTTATTCAAGAAAATAACTTTTATCTCGTTGGACGTTGTTTATCATGTTTTATATCTTTATTGACTAAAATCAACAGAACTTGTTTATTTATTTTATTTTATTTATTTTGTATTTAAAAATTTTTGATTTATTATTATTATATAAATTCTTACGTACTCGAATCTGCAATAATGAGACTCGAAATTAAAGATTTTTGTCAGTAAAAACATAAAATAATTTTGTCATAATTTCTTTGCAATAATAATGGATTCTTGTTTTATTGACCACTCGATTAATGAACAATTTTGTTGGTGCTTGCTACTCTAACGAATGATTTCGTTCTGTTTTTTGAGGGTTCGCTATTGTATTAAAGATGTTGTCAAACACTAAAATAAATATTTGATAATGCGAGCGAAATAATTTAAAACTAATTATACAGTTTATGAAAATTTAAGTATACTTTATTTTGTAATTAGTATTTTGTGACTGTAGGACATATTCTATCTTAGAATATGAATAAACTGAATTGAATTTCGTTCAAGTTTATTGTTTCTTATTTAATTTGTAAAGGGTTTATTTTAAAATTAACACATTTCTTCTCGCTTTTATTTAAATAATGTTTATTAAAATAAAAGTTTTAATTATTAAACTCGTGAATTCCAATCGAGTTATCGTAGAGGAATGAAATAAAATTTACGTAAAATATTTACTATATAAAGGCTTTATATTTTCTTAATTGTATATTTAATGACATTCAGTAGCTTTTAAAGTAGCTTTCGGTTTCATATCTCAAAAATTAAGAGACATTTATCGGAAATCATTGGTTAATTGTCGTTAAAACTGAGACATTTTATAAATGATTTTAAATTACAAACTTCTTCATTTGTAACAAATATTATTTAGTGCTGCTTAAATATCACTTTTTTAAATTAATATTTTATCGTTAACAATTCTTAATATAATTTAATAAGCTTTTTATTTTTAAATGTTTACTCTTAAATAAATAATAGAATTTTGAATTTGGAGTTAAATAAACGAAGATTATGATAGTTTAAAAAGTCTTTTTATTTAATTATATTAAAGGATATAAATATTTTGACTTTAAATATTTCAAACAAAGAATATTCTTAATCTTTCCAATACATTCTTTATTCAAAATACCGTCACGTTTTGATTATCATCGCCTTTCTCATTCTCTTCATTTCCATACATTAAATGTGAAATAAAGATTTACGTCGACGTTTATTTAAGTATCTTTCGAATCAGAAACTAAAAAATACTTAAATACTTCTTGTTGAAGCTCATATTATTTATTTTCATCCGCTATTACCATTTTGGGAATAAGTAAATATTCTTCATATAAAATTTAAATGTTAAGTTTTTTATTCTCTAGCAAGATAAAGTATTCATTATTTTTATTCACTGAATTAACGCTTCTTTTAACTTTATATTGTTAAATAAAAAATTTTTTCCTTCTGATTTGATTTTTCGTTACTTTAAATATTTAATTTATTTATTTTTCTATTCTTTTTCTCATCCATTATCAATTATTTCCTTTTTTTTTATTTGATTGTTTCCAATTTTTAAAGTTTCTTTATCTGTTGTGGTATCGGTTTTTTCCCTAAATCTCATCTGTTACTGTTCATTCTTTCATAAAAATTCATTGTTCATTCCATGTTTTACCGCCATTTTTTTTCTGTTAAATTGATTTAATACAATTCAGAATATTTTATAATTTATTAAATTTTTTTAACAATAATTAAGAAGAGAAAAATATTTAATATTACTGAAATTATATATATTTAAAAAAATTCATTTTCTTTTCGATTATCATTTAATAAAATTGATTTAAAAGGAAATGTTTAATTATTTCTGGCTTTTTATTACATAGAATCACTTTATTACATATGAATGCTTCACAAATTAGTGTTGCATTTTTTGAATTTTTTTTTTTTATTTTATTTTTTAAATAAGTATTTTACAAATAACACATTATATCTGTATATTACACTAAAGACAAAATCATTTTTAATTAAACAATTTCAAATAAAGATTTTCTTAAGAACATATTTTTTAAAATAATTCTTATATAATATATATTTACTNAATATATATTTATATACTTATTTATATCTATAAGGTATATATTAATTTATATCTGTCCATGAAAATCTTAAAACTGCTTTTCTTAAACACTATTATTCACAACAAATCCAGACGATGTTTTACTTTGAAAACTTCAACAGATTATTGATTTTTTCTGTTTTTTAAATATGTATATATACATATAATTTTAAACTACATAAATTTTAAAATAGAACAAGTTTTATTTCATTCTTTTATATACTTTTAATAATGATAATTAGTTATCATCGTAAAATTGAGGATATCTGATATTAAAATAATTACGTTTACCGGGTCCACCTAAAAATTCCGAAACTCTTTTACCGGGTCCACCCAAAAATTCAGAAAATCTTTTACCCGGTCCTCCCAAAAATTCAGAGACTCTCTTGCCTGGTCCACCCAGAAATTCCGAGTATCTTTTTCCCGGTCCACCCAAAAATTCGGACAGTCTTTTTCCTGGCCCTCCCAAGAATTCGGAAAGTCTTTTCTCATTATTATCCCGAAGATAACCGATTGGCACCATGTTTTCTTCTTCTTCTGAATAACTTCTTTTACCCGGTCCACCTAAAAATTCCGAAAGACGTTTTTCTGATGTTCTCAAGTAATCTGAAGATATCGGTAAGTTTACAATTTGTCGTTGTCTCCCGTCTGGATCTAATTAAAGAAAAAATATTTAAAAAATAAAAGCGGTTAAAGCTGATACTGATTAAGTATTGATATTAATAAATAACCTAACAAAATTTTATATAAATTAAATCAAAATGAATAATAATTCCTCATGCAAAAGACTTACTTGTTGAACACTTCGGCCATGACAGATGTTTTTTATTATTTTATTGAAGAAGATAGCTAAATTTTAGAGTAATTTCCACATTATTACATATATACATTCATTTTAAGCGTTATTTTAAATATTTTGTTTTTTATTATCATTTATTTATTAAATTTAAAAATTTTCACATTTACATTTTTTAAAAATTCGATTTCTATCTTTTAAGTCAAAGTAAAAAACATTTTACACATGCCTAAATATATATATATATATTTATTTTATATTACTGGCGAATTTTAATTCTTTCAATTATTATTATTAATTAAAGAAGTGCGTAAATCTAATTCGCGTCATCGTAATTAGAAATAAAAGTGATTAAAATTACATTTACACGCAGCAGGAAAAGTTAATGAATGAAAGATGAAGCTCACCCTACACTCTCTCCACTGACGACCTTTGATGTAAATCTTTTTCTGTAACATCACGCTTACGTCTTCCTAAAAATTCCGACCCAATAGGGCTACTTTTACCCTGATCATTATACATGACATCCGCTCTTTTTCCCAAAAATTCGGATCCTATTCTTTTACCTAAAAATTCGGATCCCATACGTTTGCCCAAAAATTCGGATCCCATACGTTTACCTAAAAACTCCGATCCGATTCTTTTTCCAAGAAATTCCGATCCCATACGTTTACCTAAAAATTCCGAACCTATTCTTTTGTCTCTTTCATCGTCTACAGTTCTTTTTCCAAGAAATTCGCTTCCAATCTCTCTTTGACTATATCGAGATCTCTTCAGAGATGTTTCGTGCGAATTAACGTCTGGAATGTTCATACCAGTTCCCACTCTGACTAATTCGAAGATTTTTCTAGCAACATCTGAAGGAAACTCTCTTCCAACACTCCATCCTGAATTTGATACAGAATAATTACATTTAACTTTCCATATATTTAAATATACAACAAATACTAATTACCTTTTCTCTTATTTCTCTTAAAACATACACACACACACATATATATATACAGTATTTTATATTAATTTACGCGAATTAAATATAAAATAAAATTATTATTTTTTAAATAAGATAAAATGAAAACTTATATATGCAAACAATTACGCGTCATTTACGCGCAAAAATTAACTTTTTTTAATATTTATAAAACGAGATTTATTATTATTTTTTATCTAAATAAGAAGTTAATTGTCTTTTTCTCGGTTATATATTTTTATAATTCGTTCGAAAGAGAATTAATTCAGCTTTCTGTAATCTCATAAAAGGGTTTTCCTTCATAATATACAGAATTTGTCTTCCGAGACTTTATCGCCATTTTAAATTTTCATTTTATTTTCAACGTGAATAAAAATCGAAAGGAAAGAAAAAAATTGAGAATTATTTGCATACATAATATTTAAGTATTTCTGCCTTTTCCCTTAATATTTTTGGTGTAATGAGAAATTTTCTATTCCATCTTCATTTGCATTTGAATTAGAATTTTTTCTATTTTGTTCATTACATATTTTTGTCATATTATATTGAACTTAATCCTATTTATAGCTATGTTTATATCCCGAGTTAAAATTGTTTTCTTTTTTAATAATAAATAATGTATTTGATTTACTCGATATATTCGTACTGTACATATTTTTGTATTCTGAGGTAACTTTGAAAATATCTAAAAATTTTCGTAGGTAATTTATTCATGTTTCTTAAGTCTCTATAGTTTACGGATAATTTTAATTTAATAAAGGTTTTATCATGTTTATCTGGGTTAATTGTACTAAGTTAATGCTTAAATACTACTAAAGTTGAGAAATATTTCAAAATTTGCAATCAGAAATTAGGAAAAAAAATTGAATAAAAAATTTGATTTGGATGAAAGACTTTAATGAAATTATTGAAGAGGGAAAAACTTTTTAAATAATACAAAAATGGATTTTAATCCTTCGTAAAAATTTCCAACTTTCTCTATTTAATCCCTAAATTCCTTTATTAATCCCCAAATTTATGATATTGAATGAAAAAATTTCTCAATTTTTACAAAATTTATTACACTTACTAATTAAATTATTATTTATTTAATACTTTCGTCAAATTTTCTGTTGTTTAAAAAAAACAATTCCTCATAAAATTACTCGTTAAATTTTTCTGAATTATCTAAAAAGTTCTCTTTAATTTGAAGTTAATCCCAGTTTAGGAACTTCTTCGGTTTGCAGATATAATCAGATATATTTAATTCGTATTGTAAAATAAGATTCACAGAAAAGACATTGATGATGTTAATGGAAATTGATGCATATTATTACCTCTGTTTGACATTGCCTGTTCGGGTTCTGATACACTCAAGACAGACACACAGGACATCACCATGATTACGGCCATTAAAACAATTTGACGAGAATAGGTTACTTCCAACATTTTCGACATTTTATAATCTGAAAAGAATATAATTTAACATTTATTATACTTAAAATCAACGAGAAAAGGGAAATTTTCGGGTTACAAATCTGGAATTTCCTATACGTAGGGCCTTTCCATAGAAAACCTTTAAATTTAGTTAATGCCATTTGCCAAGTCACGTAATATTGAACCATAATTTGAGTGTATTTTAATATTGTTTGCTCATTTAATCTTCGATTTTATTCAAAAATCTTTATTAGACTTTTAATTAAAGCATCGAAACTTTATAAATTATATATAAAACTACGTTGTCATTAATTACGATCAATAGCTGGGATTTTAAATGATATCTGAAATTTTAATTGTGTTTAATTTATCTGAAATGTTCTCTGTTAATTTTGATCGTAAAGCACTTAATGTTATCGGCTTAACTATATATTAAATAATGAAAAAATGAGTTATTAAATATTGATATTAAGTAATGAAATTTAGTTATTAAGGAATATTAAAATGATGGTATTGAAGAACAAAAAATAGTGGTTAAATAATGAGTTATTAAGTTAATTATTAATTTATCTGTAAATATAACATTTTCTAAACATTAAAATATATTTAACAACGAAAATATTAATAATAATTTTCTCAAAACTGTAAAAAAAACAATAAACATAAGCATAAAAATCACAATTACTTTCACATAAAATAATTGAATATTAGTAAAAAAGGTAAATATTTGTAGTAGGAGATTTTTATGTCGGTTTAAAAAAGATCATAAAAATCTGTCAGATAAAAGAAAAAGATATAGTTATATAATCCGAAAATAAATGGCTAAATAGCAGATAAAAGAAGTTGTAATCTTTTGTACACAAGCCATCATCCATAGAAACATCTGCCCACAACGGCAACAAATAGTGTTGTGTCAGTTTTGGGCACAAGAACCAATAGTGATGACCAAATATTAGTGGAAATAAACTACTCTGATGTCACCGACTGAAACTAACTTTGATATTTATCTTAGTTACGACATTCTGTAATGAGAGTTTCATGTGCGGACTCTTTCATAAAAACTTTATTATATTCTTTTCTAATAACGTTCTCTCTACGACACAAGACAATGAATTCTTCTTTTATTTATTTGATCAGAAAAATCTCCTTATTGGTTCGTTTAAATATTCAAATATTGAACGAATATCCACGCAATAAATAAATCATGTAAAAATTAACGATTAAAATAGTCAAAAATAAATTAATTAAACTAATATAATTTAATTTTTAAGTAATGTTTTTAAAATGTTTCTAAATTCTCAATTATAACTAAATTTATTATTTATGATATTAAAACAATATACCTTAAAAAATAATTTAAAATTACTAGAAATTAATTTTTTAGTCTTATATTATATTTTAGTTTTTAATTTCATAACATATAATAATATAATAAATAATTTTGTTATTTAATTTAATTTTTTATAGAAATTCAAATAAAACATCTCAAAGTAAATTGTAAAAATAATTAAATATTTAAAAAATATATAATTACTTTAAGTTAACCTACGCTCTTAAAATATTTATTTCTATATAAAAATAGAACAAAATTTACTTAAAAACACTGTAAACTTTACAAAATATTTGATTAAAAGCTATAAATTTAAGCCTATAAATGTATATGGGGGCTCAAAAGTTAGTTAATCGTGTTTTATTATGAGTTCTAGATACTGTATATTTGTGAATATAATTATGTAAATAGTAAACTAAGTTTAGAACAATGCAATTTTATTTACAGGAATATGAATAATTATTTAATTAATTGAATAAATGATTGATTTTGCCTTTAAATGGTTAACTGACTTTTGGGCCACCCTGTATACAAAAACGCCGAACAGGATTTTCAATCGTAAACAGGATAAAATTAAAATAAATTTAGAAATATTTATTTTAATCAAAAGTTTATTTTCTAATTGTATATTTTAATATTTTTATTTAAATAATTTTAACTTTAAAATTGATAGAAATGCTTTTTCTTTTAATGTTTCGTTCAGTTTCGTGATGACTGAAAGGCGAAGAATTTTTCTTTACTTTCAATCAAAAGGTGCTTGGAATTGAAACAAGAAAAGTGAAATTGAATAAAAGATCTATTTAGAAGAAATATGAAATTTCTAAAGAATTATTTATAATCATTTTTTTATTTAAAAAATTGCATAAAAATAAAATTCACAATACTGTAAAAAATAAGAAAAAATCCATAATAAAATAAAGAATATAAAATAAAATTTTTGACTAAAGGAAAAAAATAGAGCAATATTTTCGGATCCGCATCTCAGATTTGGAAACAAAATTGGTTTTGTTATCTTTCCGTTTTCGACCGATAAAGTATGCGAAGAAGTCATACAACTTTACCATAATCATAAATCTTATTTCAATATCCTCTTATACCAAAGATTTATATAACTTGTATATATGTTTGCTATACATTTCTCTCCCCCCACATACACACCTACGCACACACATAACTCGTGCTTGATCACTTAATATCTTTTAGCTAGAATCGCTTAATATTCTAAACTCCGATATTATAATTCAAAAACTTAAATTACATATAAAGTACTTTAGTTTATACAAATTCTCTCATATTAGTGTATTGGAATTACATAATTAAGAATATGTTTTTCGCCATCGTTCGCAATGACGAAACGTACTAATGTAGAATCCAGAGGTGACGTGTCATATCTTATAGTTTTTATGTATAGAAACGAGATGTCTTCTCTACTTATCATTAAAGATAGAACCCCGAACTGTTTTGTAAATCGATAATTATCGCATTTTGGTTACTTTTAAGGTTAGATCGATATCGAGAAGTGATAGCGCGGTTTATAGACGACGTAACGAAGTAATTCACATTGTCGAGATGATTGGATATAAGAGTAGGTGAAACGTCACGACTGTCAATAAAAACGTCCACTATCTGATAACGTTACTTGTCTAGTTTAATAACGATGATAAGAGTCTATTCTTGCTATATATAGTACGAAATCTTGCTTATGTAGAAAGCTTTTTACCTGTTTGTTTCACTCTTAAGTAACTACTACACGTAAATATTTCAGAATTGCATCAATTTATTCAAAAATTTTGGCTTGGAGAAGCATTTTGAGTTGTTCTCCTCTTCTAAATTCTTATACTTTTTGATTATAATTTATGAATTTTATGAGAGAGTTGCTATTCGCGCGAAGTGGAATACGTGTGAATACTTTGAAACCCTCAATACGATAACGTCTGAAGGATAAATTCGGATTGTAAAATAGAAATGTTTATTCGAATCGAGAGTTACACATAAATATATCTATCAATAGGATATTACATGTGTAACTGTAGTAGAAGCATAATATCTGTATTCTAGAGGACGGAAAATCCAAGCTTAGAGAGTATCAACGAAAGTAGTTCGATTTGGAGTGAATTGAACAAGAGAATAATAAAAATAAAAGTGAAAAAGGATTTCTATATCTCTTCCTAAAAATTTGTTTAAACATTTTTATAATAACTTCTATGCTTAAAATGATTTTTATATGTATTAGACTATAAGCCGACTTTAAATAATTTCATGAGAACGTCTGAAATTTAACTCGGGTCGTTAAATTTTTTAGTATCTAGCTTATATTTTTAGCGAGTAATTTACTTTTTTCTTAATAGAACTTTACTAAACTTTAATGTATTCATTTGTCTTACTTTAGGTAAAGATTATTTATCAATTCAAGCTTTATTTAACATGAAATATTGGTATAGTTGCTTTCATTTTTCAATAGTTCTATAACACATTCTTACACGTTGGGATAATGACAAAATTAAGAGCATCGATTTAAAATTTTAATTTGCTTTTTCTTTTAAACATTAAAATTGAGATATTTTAGGAAAAGTTTAATTAATTGTTAAATAATGTTTACATTAATATTCAGAGAAATATCGACAATATCAATGTGAAGAATTTCATCGATAAATTTTTGCGTATTTTCCTACAAAAATATAGTATTTTCTTTTATAATGAATAGCTTAAAGAGTATATTTGATCAATGTTTATTTAATAAAATTTACAGAATTATGAGTAACATTATCTCATAATTTTTTTTATAAAATATATAAATTCGTTAGGCTATACTCGAAAGAAAATATAAATTTATTTAAATAATATCATCTATAGAATAAAAAATTACTCTAATTATATTGTTGTAATATTTAATTTCTTGCGTGTTATTAATATAATTAAAATCAAGGGAGTAAAGAGGAGGGAGAAAAATATAAAATTTCAACCTTTTACATAAAATTGCGAAAGTAATTTTTAATTTATAATTTTAACGAGTTAAAAATATTAGAAAATAAATTTAAAATAGTTTATATTAAATGTTTATATTACATTTATATATTTGATCGATCAGAAATTGATCAATCTTAACTTTATGTTTGATCAGTCATAAATTCATCAACCGAAATTAATGATGGGCACTAGAGATATAACTTTTTAGTAAGTTTTCTTTATTAAATACACTTAAAATATAATAATCGAACGTATATAGTTAATTTTAATTAATAAATTCCTTTAAAAAATTTTAAATTTGTAGTTTAAAAATCGTTTAATAAGTTTTTTTATTAATATTAAATTAAAATATTCTCTACTAAAATAAAATAATGCTTAAATTCTTGTTAATTTCTAATTAAAAACAAACTATTCTTTCAATTAACTTCTAAATTTAATCAGAAATAAAGAAAATTTTTTCAATTTTTTCCTTAGTAATTTCAAATCTTGTTTTTCTTTTACTAAATTATATCAAGGAAAATATTTAAAAATTCATATGATGTCAAATTATATATATTTTCCGATAAAAACAAGAAAAAATACTGTACTTTAATTTACAAATGGATTTAATCTATTTTAATTTACTAAAATACAAAAAAAAGCTAATTAATATATTCATCGAGATTCTATTTTATAAATCAATAATAAAATCCCGAACTGCTTAATATATAAAGATAACTTCACCTTTTTCTT